TGCAGTTAATGAAAAAATCCCAGAAATATACAATTATGCAAAATAAAATTGACTACTTATGTTTTATTTTTGGTGGTAGGTAAAGTTATATTCATGTTCTTTCGATATTAACAATCAGTAAAAATATGCAATGGCATGAAGTTCTCCGATCTAGAAATGAGTAAGTGGTGTTACAATTACACTACATGTGAAAGTATGAGCCAGTACTTCCGTTTACGATGTTTTTTGCAACAGATATATATTACTTCTCAGAACGTCCGGTGATATACCATTTAATACCATCTGATCCCTAGATAAATGTATGCGTATTGAAAAAATGAAAAAGGTACATTAACCGTATAATTTCTTCAATAACTTAAAGAAAACTTCTCTAATTCAAAAATTAGTCCGGTAAGTGCCACATTGGTTCTACCATCTTGAACAGAGATTTTACTTTCATTTAAAGTATTTTTTGGAGGTACTTCACCGTGGATCAATCTAACGAACATAGTACCTTACAGTTTATTATCCTACGCTTCGTTAAAAGGCGGTAAACAATTAACTTAATATTACAAATCGTACAGTATTCGAAATTTAATTAGTTCATTAGTATTATTTATCAACTGTGTACGATATGTCTAACCGATAAAAACGCTGTAATCAGTATTCAGATGGAAATAAGCGTTTTTGTAAAGAAATTATATTATTCGTCAAGCAAATGCACATAGTTTTGACAACGGCGCTGGCAACAGTGCGTTGCTCTCTTCCGCATAATTTGCTGAATACTGTATCAATCAAATGTATTCCTGTTTGTTTCATTTGTCAAAGTAAGAAGTGATTGTTGTTCCAAACTATCGAAAGGAATGGAGATATGCATCATTGGCGCTTAGTTTGAATTGGACGCTTTCAAATAATATCTGAGGTATGGCAGCGCAATACTTCAATCTTTCGTAGCTGTTTCCAATAACGCGAGAAAGTATGTGCTGTTGTAGTACTAGTTATTTCATTAGTTCGTGATGATGAAATTGATAAAGCCGTACCTTACAACTGTATCTCATCTATATTATTTTACGTTTCAAATCATGTTTACAAAACGAGTTAAATTTTAATTTTGAACGTTGAACAGTTCTTGTTAGATAGCAATTGTCTCTGTACACGTAACATCTACATATCAAATGAGCAAAAATTATAGATTCATTTTTTCAAATTACAGATTCATTAGCCACGGCAGTGCTTAAAGAGATACAACTTTCCAAAAAAAATTGGCCATTCTAAAGAATTCACTATATGAAGACACGTTTTTTTGTCTCGAGTTGCCAAGACCAAATATAAAAATATTTTGCAATTTTACTTAATATATTTTTAATAACTGGACATCCAAAGCAATTTTTACTTTCTCGTACAAAATTGTAATTGCAAAAGCACAATATTAATGAACGAGATTTTTTTTCTTACGTGAATTTTTTTTTTAACTAGCAGCTTACATATAATTTCAATTTACAGTTGATGCAATTTATTAAAATCACACATTTTCTCGAAAACAGCTTCCAATTTTTCCCCATAGATTGCACAAAGGATGCTTAAAAAATGGCACAGGACTCATTTTCAAGTAACTCTCTGAATTTTGGAAAATTTCAAAAGTTAGAAATAATGCAATAATGTACAAACTGTTGTAGCACTGCTAGTTTAATTTATTTTAACAAATGTATCAAAGATTTTAGAGAAATACGTAGCAATTGGAGATGCCTCAAGCACAACGTTGAACAGGTGGTGGTTTATCATTTTGATTTTGTTCTTCTCACTCTCAATATCTGTACAGGATAAGCAATTCATGTCACTTGTGCCTCATTCACTTCTTTCTTTACCTATGTGAGGCCACTCGTTTCACTGGATTAAAGGTGTTTTCGTGTTACCAAAATCATCATAATCAGGTTAAATAATGCTTCTAATTTGCAAAGAGCAAGACTACAAGCATGTTTCCCTGCTTACGAATATAATTTCAACACGCTTCCCTCATGCCGAGGCACCTATAGGTGCATCAAAATTTTATTTCAAAATAATTGTGTCATAAATAAAGTATACTGTTGCAGGTAGACAAACTTCATCGTAATATTCAAACATTTAACAACATAAAATAAAGAAGAACAACAAAAATGCATTTTAGAAGCCATTGTTGAAATTACAACCATCAAGGACATGGTCTAAAAGCAACACCATACAACTTCTTAAGTTAAAACTTGAAAAACAAAAATAAATGATTCGTGTACCAGGAAGATTTTTGGTTCTCGAGCTTAATAATTACTTACACTTAAACAATGATAGTGCACATGACAAATATTCTTCCTTACACATATCTTCCTGGATCTTCAAAACATTACTTCATGCTCAAAATAATATCACAGTTATCATGTTAGACTGTGATAAAATTACACACAGACATAGGTGGCAGGGTGCTATGGATTCAATCACCTCCAATATTTTCAATCGCTCAATCAACAATTCAACTGATTTAATCTGGACAGACACACATGAGTAAACATAAGTGGTGCTTTAATGCCCTAGGTCTGAAATCTTTCTTATGAAAAAGGCACGACACAGAAATGATTAAATTATATCTTTCATAAACATAAAAATTGGCTGGCTTACCTACATGAGTTAGCATTCAACGGGCATTGTAGGGCGATCTTTAGTTGTATCAGCATTATAAATTGAATTGATGCCTTATTTTACGTAGCAAGACGAGGGCCATCAGGTCCGCTCTTCCGTCTGACCACGCAAATTTCACCCACTAGTGGAGAAATGAGGTATTTCTTGAGCGACGAAGCAGCCGCGTCATTTAGGCTTGAGGATCTTTTACATGCAAGTAAATCTCCTAACATGGTTCAGCCGGCTTTACTTTCCCTCAGAAGGAAGGCGTACGAAGGATTTTTTCGCCCTTAAAAATCCATGGCTTCGATCGGGTTTGTACCCGATAACTTTTATAATAGTCCAACAACGTTAACCGTTACACCATCGCCGCCGACTAAATTGAGAGTTTGTAATAAAGTATAAAATAATTCAATATTGTTGATATCAGTATAAACATGACTATTTTTTCAAGTTGAAGTTTTCACACGTTGTGCCAGTCGCCCAGAGAGAGGAGCAGCTGGGGCAACTTTCCCCACGACTCGACTTAATTAAGACCCCGAAAATGTATTTTCATTCAAAACAAATAAAAAACGTATTTATTTTTCCTTCAAATTATGTAGTTGCTATAAGATTCTTCATATACTGGCGACAGGTGGAACTTGTTTGAAATTAGTGGCCCCCTTGGATCTACTTTCCCAGACCGTTTTCTCTGTACCTCCCTGCATTGCCTCATTACCCAATGTCGCTGCACTCCTTTGCGCAAGTGTGATGTCGAAGTAATCCGATAGTGATTATTTATGAGGTTGAAATATTAAGTGCCAAAAAACGGTTTCGCATAAATTAATGGTTTAAATTAACACTATACTTAAATGAGGCACTTTTTAGGTATCTCAGAGAACTGACAGGTAAAACATCTCTTCCATGGATCTTTAAACATTTCTTCTCTTTTAAAATAATGATACACAAGTGTAGATGAATTCATGAATAGCTGCATCATTACTTGACATTTTTCTAATCTATCACATGCATCTTGTTATCTTCAAAAAATTATTAAAAAAGTTGTAGCATAATACCTAATTACTAAAATTCTGTGGAAGCACTAGCATTTAAATAACTTTCTTCAATGCCCCTCTCCAAAAACAAATACTAGCCACGCATGTTCATTATAAATTAACATAATCTAAACAAAATCTTCAACCTATATGATAGAATGTGGTGGAGGTGCAATAATACATTAAGAATGTATTATTCCTACCTAAGGCCGAGAGGCATACCTAATATTACTTATCTAATTCACAGTAAGGTTAGGAACAATAGAACCAGTTTGTTTGTTAACCATAGGTTAATTGCTACAGCTTCAATGTTACTCAAATAACTTGCTATGTAAAGATCTATATTTCTCAAACCATTTTTCTGTTTCTTTTCTTCTCAAAACTAATACGCAAATTGAAGAGATTTAAGTACGTTAATGGAAAATGAATTCTTATTCTTATAATGAATAATGCAGAACCAACTTTTATTTTTTTTTTATTTTACATACATGCTTTAATAAGATATTCTGTATAAATACACTTAAGAACTCAACTCTAAAGCTGATACAAAAGACACTTACAATAAATGAAATAAACATTTCTCCAATTTCCAATTATTTTTCATTTAATATTCATTACTGACTAGATACACTTAGCATGTACCTTCTACTACTAATCAGCACCAATACATACAAAGTACATAAAATTGCATTTAAGAAAAAATAATTGCCATGGAATGGTCCTACATTTGCAGGTGTGCATAAATACTCATACGAATATATTACATCCTCATAGACGATGTCACGATTGTCAAATGTCAAAACTTCCATCCTGAGTAAAGAAAGAACCAAATATTTTTCTTCATATATTTTAAAAACAAATAAAATTCTTAGAAATTTCAGAGTATATAATGTGCAATTCATAAAATAACTGAAAGATTTATAACACAATTTCCCCCCACCCCCGAAAAAACATTTTACTTCTAATTTGTCAATAACACTGAATGCTATTATAATAAATACAAACGAAAACATGTCTCATCATTAATCTTGCACTTTAGTTATGACATGAATTCAAATTTACTATTAATTGCTTTATAAGGAAGAAAGAAAGAAAAACACACATACAAAGTACCACTGAAGTGAGTCTTGTGCTCTAAGAGGACCCGATGCTTTTTTACTGAATATGAGAACATTACACCACTCTCAGACAAAAATCGATCCTAGCAATACAACAAAAATATTATAATTCTATTGCGTTTGCATTTTTAAATACAAGATAGTTATATTACGAATTGTAGGTACTTAATTCATATAATGAACATGTGGTTAATGAATCTATAAGATCAACAATGATTTTGGTACATTTTGGAGAATAAATACTTTATGAAATGTAATAAATTATTTTCAGTAATAAGATGTATCTTCTGCTGTAAATCCAAAATATGAAACATTGATTACTGAAAATTGCTACTTTTAAAATAATATTTTCAAATAACAATAATGAATGTTATTACACCACAAAAACAATACAATCACAGCAAATCATTTTTAAAAATTCATTGATGTCTACCTCTGTTCTACTTTCTCAGATCCACTGATTATGGTCCATTAATAATTTTAAAAAATATAATTTTCTGATAGTGAGCTTTTAAAATAAATGCATTTAGGCTGAACAACAATAATATTGCTTAACAGTACTCACAAATGGAAGTTCTGACCTTTTTGAAAGGAATCATCAGCTGTATAATGGCTGACAAAAAGCCTATGTGCACCCTGCTCCTTTTCCCTTTAATGGGCTCCCAACAAGTTCAACACAGGCAAGTAAAAATAAGCAAGTACAATATCCACCAGTACAAAAAACAAATAAAATTTGCACTATTAACACTAGAAAACTCCCTCGGATAGATACAGAAAATGTTATTTCTCTTCCCACTTTGAAAACTTGGAATTATTAACATTTTAGCATTTCAGAATAAGCAAGACTGTAGTTTAATTAGTTTTATTATATCTCTCTCACACAACACTTTTCTCAATAATATCATCTCTTTATTTTATAAAATACTTTCTTTCTACCCCTTTGGAGTCACTAGATGATATTTATATTAAGGAATCTGAGATTAAAGAAACTTCGCGGATGTAAAATATAATTAAGACATTAGAGGAATTAAGTCACAATATACAGTACATGAACTAAAACAAAAGGAGGAAAGAAAGAAAGATTTAAATATCAACTTGCTTAAAAATGTTAACAGAGAAGTTGGTAAGTATACAATTATAACCCACAACCAGGAAATATGAAGTAAAATGAACTATGTGATATTTACATACAACTTAACATTAGATTTAACTTCACTAAATACACATATAACCCACTGAACAGATACATCAACACAGAATATTAACACTTTCAAATAAAGAGCTTAAAATTGAAATAGAATGAGACACTTATATTTTTATTTATTGTTTAATGAGAAATCTCCCTTTTCCTAAAAAAACTTGAACAGCATGTGCCTTTATGGATTCAATGAAAACAAACATCAATTGTCTTTTCTTTTATTGTTCATTGATCTTTCAATTTAAAAGAAATTAAATCCCACATGGTTGAAAAATAAGCCACCCATTTTACATTATATCCATTCACAGCCAAAAATTGACATAAGAAATATTTTGAAAACTTGTGGGATGCATTATCATTATTTACTTTTCAAAGCAACTGAAGACTTTTAATGTCAAAATTTTATTTTTGTGCCTAACACAACATCATTAACTTTCATAACATATAAAACTTCTAATTCCAACAATGTGTACAACACACATTACTATTATCATTCATTCACATAAATTGTGATGAACTCTTTTACCACAAAGATCACATTGTGGAAAATGAAATCAATTTCATGTGAAAAGGGGTCGATCAGGTCACAAAAATGAAAACTGCACATAATGAAAACCAATAACAATATTTTAACACATTCATCAATATCAATTGGATCCCAAAATATGTTCCTGAAATTTCTTTGAATTCCATTTACACTGCATTTTCCCTTTACCCTTATTACCCTTGGCACAATAAAAACTGTAGAATTAAAATTCACAATGACAGAGCAATTATAACTACAATCACAATTTTTTCTAGGAACACATAGAAGTTGAATGTGGAATATTGTGGTATTTGAGTAAACAAATGAACATTCGACAATAATTCATGATTTTTAATAAGTTTCAATTATTTCAATTACTGAGGTTCTGAATTAACCCCAAGGACTAAGTCTAGTATGTAAATTTCACTTTGTGATGAAATTTATCTGCTTTAATCTATTAAGGAACTTATTCATTACGCAAATAACAATATTTTCTGAAACTAATGATACAAACTGTTCAATATATGGCACGTGCAATAATAACTGAATACTTTCTTTTAATAGTAAACCCAGCACTGGAGTATTTTAAAATGAATGTGTAAATAAACAATGGAATAGTATAAAAAGAGTAATTTAAAAAATTGTGGTCTCAATCACACAGCTAAAAAATTGCATAATGAAGCAAAAATCAAAGAAAACATCACACAAAGTATTTTAAGAATGTATTTAGAAAGACTAGGTCATTACTATATTTCAAAGTGTACTGGGATATCTTACTCTTGGCACAGCAGCACTGAAATAATTAACTTTTGTGTGATTAAACATAAACTACAGAGTATCCTAACCTGACCTTGTTTGTTTTAATACAGAATAATCTGAACAAAGAACAACTGAATTTCATTTTTAAAACGAAGGCTCAAAAACTCAACATGTAAGAAGACAATATTTACTTCAGTTACCACACCAAAGAAAGAATATGACTGACATTTTTCCAAAATATCCATTAAAATATCAACTTTAAATAAACCATAGTTTTACTTTGTTTGACCAAGTTAAATTTACAAAGCAAGTAGATCCTAAACAATTAATTTATTTCACAAATCTGGCAAACTGTAACATTATGGATTTAATATCTGCACGCAAGGGAAGATTCACTTTCTTTCTTTCTTTGGAAATAGAGAAAGTTTCTAAAATAAAATTCATTGACATGTAAAACGTCACCTCTCAAAATTCATGAGACATATGTCTGGTTCAAGCTTTTCAACCATTATTACCAGTAGTACATTTTTTGTCAAGTTTTATAAAAGTTGCTTAATTTTCTACACATCTGTTATTGAGAATCATCGAGTGAACTCACTTATTCCCAAATTTGTATTGTTAATGAATATATTTTAAAATATAAACATTTTTGTGATATAATTATAACAAATAATAATTATATCTGACTGATAATATTAATGAAGTTGGAATTGAAATTCAATGCCAACTAGACCATTGCCCGGAAAATTTTTAGCAGTGGAAGGCAACAAATAAGCAAATGAAGTTAAAATTGTCAGTCATGCCCTCTCATTAAAATTAGTACATAATGGTTAAAAGAATGTTATTGGAATATATCCTAGTACATAAAAAAGCATTCACAAATAGTTGTTTGTAAAACATGCAAAACAGCAAACATCAACCTCACATTGACCCAGTACAATAAAAGTATTCAAACTTTCTCTTGCCTCTTTTTAATCATTTCTACTAGAAATGACTGAATTTTATGTTTTTAATACATTTCAATTATTAACTTACAATTTAATCTCTGACTACTCTATTTCTATACTAGGAAAATAATATATGTAATTCACATACATATATCTGTGGCTAAATGTTAAAACCTACATTCTATTCTCTGAATCCATTTCCTTTCAATCATAATATCAGGAAATGTATGCATGATCTCAGTATAGTTATTTACTTTTTTATAATTATTCATTAAAATCAAGATCAAAAATAAAAGCTAATTATCGCAATGCACACTACACAATGTAGAAAAACAAAATTAGAAAATTGGTAACTACTTAAAAGCACTTCCTACCTATTTACAATAATATTGTAATTACAATTATATTTTTACCATTATTTTTTTTAAACGAATAAACTGAATGAATGCTAACTGATATTGCACAATTAATTTAAATTTCTTCTCAAATTTGTCTTATACAGTAAAATACCCTTTAACAAAATAAACATATAAATACATTTTCCAAGTATCAAATAATGAGCCAGGCAAGAATTTTAATTATTTAGGCAATATTACAACACACAACAATAAAAATTATTTAAAATTTATCCACAAATGTTTTAATTTTATTTTGTGTAATAGAAAAAATGCAGTATAAAATACGGATATCACACACTATCTCAAAGGAGAAATCTGTTCCCAGTTTAGACATTAGGAACTTTAAGCACAGTGTAGCATACAGGAAATGACAGCAATAACGACCTGTGTTTGTGTAGTTTTAGTTGCACTTCCACAGATTCTTAAAAGTGGAATAGAGTGTTTGACATAGTGCTGCTGATGGCTGTACGCTAACACCATGCCAAAAGTTCCAACAAAATTTTATTAATTTTCAAGTAATGTGAACAAGACACTTTATATAATCTCTCAAAATTTACATAAGAAGTATTTGTTCTTGCACTTATTGCAGAGTTTTGAGTTAATAAAAAAAGAAATGCAACTGAACTGGGGTTAAGTATTACCTTTTTTTACTTGAAATTATAAATGAATGGACTTCTAATTAATTTCATATTCAAAAATATATCTTCTTTTTAAAATTAGAAACATGGCTCATTATATTCTGCAATCAGTAAAAATGCCTTCTTCCAGGACCAGTAACACTACAAATATAATTCTAGTTATATTACTTTTCACATATTTACAATTCATTAACTATTCACAAGTTACATTATATTTGTCATTTTCCTTGAGCACAATCATTAACATTTACTTTGGTTGCAAACGACATCAAAGGTTATACGTGTAGCAACTTAGAATTTTTGACAATCACAAGTATATATGGATTTAATATTTCCTCTTTCTTTAAATGTTTATCCCCATTTCTCCAGGAAGGAAATAAATTCACAAAAAAATGTGGAGAAAATTAATCCTATTCACACAAAAAAGCTTATTATTTGTTTATTCACTACACATATCCCCCGAGTCTTGTAAAAGCACCTTTGTTTGACAAATAACATGCCAATGTGTGTCTAACATATTTAAGTGAGCAATGTAGGGGACATAAATAAACCTTGTGGGTACTCGCCAATCAATAAAGCTGCCATCCAACGAAGCTGCTCATCTTTGCTTGTGCCAGCAATAGTATTTCCAAAGTAGGGACTATCCTTGGACCTACAACATGAAAATTATCCTTACTTAGATCATATGAAAATCACATTTAATGATCTGATTTCCTTCAAGAGAATCAGAATAGTAACAAGGGCACAAAACAAAATATTTTATATCTTAATGGTAGTGCTTAAATAAACATGCGTTCTCCAGAGGAAACCATGACACTTTAGATAAATAATGGTAACTGGTAAATTCAATCACACCAATACTACTATTGAAAACTGTTTCTTCGAACAAAACTAGCGGCACTACAACAGCACCTACTTTTTTGTAAGTAATGGTTTGTTAAGTAATGGTTGGTAATATATGGAGCCCAGATTTATTTGCTGTATAATTGTCTTAAAGATACAATACAACAAGTATTACCAGCTTGCCAGTTTGCACAACCAATTTAAATCCAATTATCCATAATTAAACTGTTTGAAAAATGTATTTTACAATAAATAACCTTTCCTTTTAAAAATATTACATAAACAAAACAACAAGACAAATGGAGATCTACTGTTACCAATCACTACCTAACATGTGCTCAATGGGATGAATCAAGATAAAGATATACGTGCACTTCACATGAATTTCAGTGAACCTTTGGACATGGTAAATCACAATATACTAAGTAATAAATTGAGACGATAGCGTATACAAGGTGGAACATTGAACTGGTTTTGTATATATTTCACAGGTAGATATTGGCAGGTTCGAGTAAATGATCATATTTCATCTGAATACAAAGTGACTTATGGTGTCCCACAAGATTCACATCTGGGATCAATACTATTCATTATTTTCGTTAATGATATTGGTGATAAACACATCAATCAGCGTACCTGTTATATGCTGATTCTGAAAATCTTTACAAAAACAACTAGCAATGACAATATCCACATTTTTCAACAAGACTAAATAGTGAAAAATGTGAGTGATAATATTCTCTTCTTCAATCCATTGAAGTTTTACAGAATACCATTTTAATATATATCAACCTGAAGTCATATTTGTGAGAGACTTGCTTGTCATAATCAATAATGAATTAAATATTTTGAGTCATATCAACAAGATGACATTGATGCATTTAATGTACTTGGATTTAGATTTAGATCAGGGAGAGAATTCAATACTGAACACACACTTTAATACTGTACAGTTATTATACAAATCTTCTTGCCATTAGAGGGGGTAAAGTACCGAAAAAATTCTGCAAATGTGTCATGTATTACATGAACATCAAGAATACAATATGAACATTTATGACATCTATGATCAATTCAATACTGACACTCCTTCAAGTCAGAGAAAAATCGGGGATCTTACATTTTTTTTATAGAAAAAATAACCTAGTAAATGAATATTTTTATTTTTATAAATATTTTTGGGAGAGGTAAGAAATATTATACTTGCTCAATAACTTACTGTATTTCATCCATAATAATTGTGTGCACTCAATATATATTCAATGTAACTCATACAATTTATAATCACAAATTTAATTGTTATTGTAAATATTTATTGAAAATTGGCATAAATAAATAAATTATAATTTTGAAAATATGCAATAAATATTCAGTTTGAAATTTACAGAAAAATAAATATTTTTACACACAAATTCTCAAAATGCGTTGGATTGTGGTATTATGATTGAATGACGTTTTTGAAACAAAATCAAAACAAATTGGTCTTACGGAAAAGTTTTGAAAACAATTTTATTTTTGTTTTGCACAAGAATTAAATTAATAAACTTAATTAATACTGTCTTAATTGTCCCACATGACCAAATACATATGGGAATGAGGATTTAAGAAAAAAATACATAAATACTCTGAACAAAGAACATAGTATATTTAGCTCATTAATTATTTATTCAAAAGAGATTTCCAAATTTCTTTCTGAAAAATTGATTTGTCCATTAATAATTAAATTTAAAAAAAGATTCTTTGGGCAGCAAAAAAAGACAAAAGTATTTAGAGATTCAAAGAACAGATTTAATTTACAAAAACTATCTATCCTTAATAATGTAATTGATGGAAGAGAGGGACAAAGAAGTTTCAAACTTTTGCAATTTCCGAAATTTCAAAGGTTTCAATGAAAGCAGACCTGCATCATTTTTATAAGAATAGATTGGACAATTTGAGCAAAAAACAGCCAAAAAAATCTTGAGTCGTTTTTGAGAAAATTTGGAAAATGTTATTGGGACTTCGTGTGAAGTTAAAATATTAGTATACCCAAAAAATTAAAATATCAATTTCAAATTCAAGAATCTGCAAAATTGGCTAGAGCAATTCTGGAAATGGTTTAGGCATTTGTGTTGTTTACAGACAGGCTTTATGTATGAGCGACATTAGCTAAATTAACTACACATAGGAGCAAAAAAATTATTTGGGGTTTTAGGGCTCTGCAGTATTTTTCCTGGATCATTACAATACTTTCTCTACTATGACACAGTATATGAGAAAAGGCAACAACAATAAAAATGAGAAATAAAAAAATGTTTAAGAAGAAATGCCTTCTAATGCACCACTTAGTAAAACTTGTTCACTTAAGGAATTTCTTGTTTCATACAATCAATTTGACAAAAATGTGGAACATTGACCAAAAAAGTGAAACTGCTCTTCCATCATTTCATAAAACTTTCTAATTCCTTCAAAGAACTTTAGCAATCCTTCAAAGAAATATTATAGCTCATAAGAGCTATAAGCTCATAATAGCTTTCAAGACATGGCACTGATGTAATTTCAGTAATCAAGTGTGCAGTCAGATATTGCTCCTTGAAAAACAACTAATCACAGACCTTTGGGCTTCAACAAGGAAAGTTGAATGTCAACACTTCTTTCTCGAAGTTACAACAAATATGCCTGAAAGCTCAAGCAACTTAAGTCATCAAAATATGGTCATTCAAAGTGCTTGTTTCAATTGCTCTTCAGCTGATCTAATAGAGTAAGGGACAGGAGAAGAATATCATAAGTATTTCCTATCACTTACAGTCTTCAGTGCAGGGGGGAAATGATAGAAGTATATACAATATACACTATACACTCAAGTAATCCACTAAAAGTAATAAGAAAGAATTCCTAGTAAATACATCAAAGGCCAAATTGTCAACTAACAGATACATATTATTAGAAAATGGAGATGGTACAAGTATTTGTAATTTTAGTATTTTAATCTATACATGCATGAGCATGCACACACATTCACACCAAAAACATCAACAGAACTATAAGGTTCTGTCCTCAAAGACTTACCGTTTAGTTGGCTTGTTCTTTTCAATAAAAGTAATAGACCACCTGCACAACAAAGGTAATGACAAATTTTATTTTTTTCAAATAGTCCCATTCAATGTTAATCACAAAAATCCCAGTACTGTACCTCGTTTGAGGGTTTCTTTTTGGTTCGTACCCCAAATACCAAACAATATCTTCTATTTTCCATTCACTCATTTTCACAGAACCCTAAAACAAAATTAAAATAAAGATTTAACTTGTAACACAAAAGCCACATTACCACAAAACAGAATGTGATGTACCTTTTTGTCTTTGTAGTAGCATAACTTTGCCTGGCTAAATTCAAACACAAATGGTTTGAAAGACTTACTCTTCTTGTCTGCATATCTTAGTTCTCCACTCATAGCAAGAGGTGGTTTAGCCTAACACAAAAACAATTCATCCCTTTAATAAACAAGACCTGCACATCAAAGGCAAGTGAGAGACAAGGTAATATTGGATCGCATCAATAAACTTCAATTTTATTTTTTTCAAGAAAATTGACAAAAAAATAAACTTATAATCAATAGTTTTAAGTTGCACAACAAAATACGAGGACAAGTGACAACAGACAAGTAATAAATTAAGTTATTGTTACAATAATGATAATGATAATAATAATGATGATAACAACAACAACAATAATTTATTTGCTCATATTAACTCAATATTACAAGTCTTGAAGCATGATAATACATTAGTAAACATTCAATATTCTTTCTCTTACAGTTTTTTTTAAAACAACTGTAGTATTCACAATTATTTACATTTTATATAGTTAATATAAATGACAACCTAAACCAAAATTGCTTATCCCAAGTAAATAAAATAACATATCCTAAAGTAAAGAACATATTAGTATTGTAACATTGCTCTCTCTATCTATGTTAATTCCTTTAATTTATACAGGCAAATTTAATTAAGGAACTTTTTAGTGCTTTTTTGAATTTGTACTTGCTTAACTTCTAAATATGGTTATTGTAGGTAGTTCATTGTAGAGTATATAGGTATTGTAAATAGTTAATAAGGCAGGTTATTGTGGAGTATTGCAGGAATCCGATAAGGATTCTTCTTTGAGGAGGATTTTGCAGCGTACATCCTATAATAGTTTTCCTTTCCTCTTATATTGTATTGTATTGTATTGATATACAAAGTTGTTTTGAATAAGGTGACAGTTATTGTTTTTCATGAGCATAATTATCCTATATGCATAAATTGCAACATCAGTTATTATTTTGTATTTTTTATAACAAAATTTTACAAGATTGGTTAGGTTGCAACTGAAATAAGCATCTCAGAGCTTGTCTCTATATTATCACAGCCCTATCCATATTCCCTACAGTGGTTGCTCCCCATATTTCTATACCATATTGAATGTTAGGGTGTATAATGCCATAGTATGTGGTAGTGAGCATTTTCACTGTCATATACTTTGAGAGATTTCGTAGTAAGTAAATGTTAGAGTTAATTCTTTTGCACGATATCAATGTGTTCATTAAATGTTAGATTTTGGTCAATGTGGATTCCAAGAAATTTGTGGCTTTGCACTTGGTGTACCTTTTGGTTCTTTATATCAATATTTATGTTGTAATTTTGGTTTTGTTTTTGGTGACTAAACTGTACTATAGGTGTTTTGTTTATGTTTAAATTAAGATAATTGTAATATAGATATCAAGATACAATGGCTGGCTAGATACAATGAATGTCGAAATCTGGAATTTAGTCACATTTCTATGCAATTGTTTATTTCAGTGTCTGCATTTAGGAAATGATAATTAAACACTTCACATATTAGCATTGGATCGTTCATAAAGGATGTATTCTTGCAGTCCTTCTATCAAGCAAGTAGTCCATGTTCTGAGGCACTACTTTCAGAACATTCCATGCCAAATGGTCTAGGGTTCCCTGCTCAATAATGTTGGATTTTCATGAAGTTTTGTATGTTACGTCCAACATGTCTCAAAGGCGCTTCTGTAAAGTTGTAGCATCAAAAGTGAAATAGTTATTGAGGTACAATAGTTCATTTAGCCCTATGTAGCAACATGGTACAGTATGTCTGTAATATGTTCGCAGCTTTTTTTTTTAAATTGATTTATTAATTTAATATTAAATAGAATTAAAAACTGTTTGTGCCATTCTATGGAGAAATGTGCATCCTGTGCATGTTTCCTTAAGTTCTGGGATCTCCACCATAGACCACATACTATCTGAATTCCAAATACAGAAGGAATTGGAATGGAATATTTGTGGCAAGGATTAATCAAATATTCGGTCCCTTTAAAAGCTATTTGCAAAGGCAAATCAGCTGCAGAATTCAGGACACAATATTTCCTTCTCCAATATTGCTAAACAAATGAACCATGAGTTTTCAACTTTTATGCTCCATTTGGTGAAAGATAAATAGCAATTTTGCCTTTATTAACATAGAGGTGTGTCAACACACAATATTGCAGCAATGTCACCGAAAAATGTTAGTCTTAAAAAAACATTGAATAGCTTTCTTAATATTTAAGAAAGAAAAGTGAAACTTGGTTCATAATTATTAACATTTCATTGATTTCTGAATGCATTCAGAAAACCAATCCTACAGTTTATGAAGTAATGGTAAGAGCTATGAGATTGAAATTATGCATGCAGAAACAATGCAATGTTCATGTTATTAACCAAGTTTCACTTTTCATTTTTAAATATAAACAAAACAATTCAATGTTAAAATCATGAATTATTTTTAACACTAACATTTTTTGGTGACTTTGCACCAACGTACTGTGTGTAAATGAGGGGTACATTGATAATAGTTTCATTGAATAGAGCAGAAAAAGTTACGCAAGTAAGCTCAGTTTCATTTGTTTTGCTATAATGGAGAAGGAAATGTATGCAAAGTTACCAAAAATCTTACTATTTGACATGGAACAACCCTTTTCCAAATATCTATTAAGAAAATTCAGACTCAAACTACAAGGAAATTCACACCCAGGATGAAATTTTTGACATGTACTATCTCTAGACTTAGTAGAAGGCCATTAAAAAAATTAACTGAAAAAACAAATTTTTCACTTCAGAGCAAAATGAAATTTATTTGTTGAATAATAGTAGTAGAAATATAGTACGGAGTTGCTCTACATCTGTCACCGTTTCTCCACTCTCAGTCTCCATGCCTCTCTATTGGACCATCGATCATCTTGCATTTCTCTTGCCTCATAGCTCCCTGCTGCATGCAAGTGTGGGTCTTCCTCTCTTCCATCTTCCATCTCTCAGCCATCTTTCATCTGTCATTCGCATAACATGACCATACCAGACGATTTGTTTTTTCTCTATTTCGTCAATAGATTTCTTTACATCCATTTTCTTTCTAATGTCTTCATTTCTGATTCTGTCACGTCTGCTATAACTGCAACTTCTACACCAGAAGTCCATTTCAAGGGCCAGCAGCTTCCCTTTTGTTCTTATATCAATCTCCCAAACTTCTAAATCATATGTTGTAACATTCTTAACTAGCAAAGAGTAAAGACGTCTTTTAGTAGTGTTAGTGCTGGTTTTGTTCCACAAGACAGAGTTTATACTTCGTGTCACATTTCTCCCCAAGCTTATTCGTCTCTCAATTTCTTCTTGGCTATTTCTCGTATTGTTAAAAAGTACACCAAGGCTATATTTGTTTACTCCTTTCATTTTTCCTCCATTTTCCAATAGAAGGTCTTCTAACTCATTTTTACCAACTGTCACATATTCAGATTTGTCCATGTTAATATTAAGACCTGCTTTTAAAAAGTGTTCATTGAGTTTACAGATCACGAAACTCACATTGTCTGCATCTTCTGTGATTACGACCTGATCATCGTAAATAAAACGTATACAATTTATCCTCATCGATTGTCATTCCCATTACTTTGCATTGTTTCTCCCACTGCTTTAAAATTTGATGCAGATATATTTTAAACAGTGTTGTGGAAAGACAGCAACCCTGACAAAGACCTTTACTGGCTGGGAATGGATCCGAGAGCCTGCTGTAGATCTTAATCTGAGAGATGTTCTTATATAGATACTGTGTGGCTTGAATTAAGTTTTCGCTGATTTTAAGTCCATCCATTTCTTCCCATACTCTAGCAACTGGTACATTGATGAATAATATCAATTCGTTATAAAAACTTTATTGATCATTTAAACTAGTGATGCTAAAACAGCAAATACTTTCTTGCCTGCATTTTCACAAATTGTCAAAATTATGCAAAAAGTACTCAAATTTTAAAAAATTTGAAGTACACATTTTGTTATTTCAAAGTCTATATTTAAGGAACAGATTTCATTAGGGACAAAAACCTCTATCTTTATAATTGTAGTGATAGGAAGACCATGACAAAAATTTTATCATTCGCAATTTTTGAAAAATTAGTGTCTTTAAAGAAAACAAGACCTTTATCATTCTCTTAAATGTCCTCCACACAATACAACAACAAAATCAAAACAAAAAAATAGAGCAATTTTATTTAAAAATTTGGACAATGCCCCAGGGGTTTCATGTCATGTACACCCAAAAGTTAAAATACGAGTTTCAAATACAAGGAGCTGTGACATCAGTCAGATCGATTGGAGAATATACATTTTGAAGAAAATTGGCTGACTTGTTAAGTCACTAGCATCGTTCACAGGCAGACATTCTGACAGACACACCGACGGGCAGACCGACAGACACACCGACGGGCAGACCGACAGACACACAGACACACCGACGGGCAGCCTGACAGACACCGACAGGCAGGCCGACAGACACACCGACAGGCAGGCCGACAGACACACCGACAGGCAGACCGACAGACACACCGACAGACACACCGACAGGCAGACCAACAGACACACCAACAGGCAGACCGACAGACACACCAACAGGCAGACCGACAGACACACCAACAGGCAGACCGACAGACTCACCGACAGGCAGACAAACGGACAGGTAATTTTATAAGACTTTACAATAAGAATTTAATAATTTAATTCACTCACCAGAGGAACTACTTCTTTCAAAATATCATTTTTCATCACAACCAGACTATTATCTTTTCTGTCACATTCATCCCAATAGCTCCATCTAAGTACAGTATCCAAAACTTTCTCTGTGTGATGAAGGAATCGCATCAAAGAGCCACCGCAAACAACTTCTTGTAGTACCAACTCATGTGATGGAATTTTCATTCTCTCTGCCAAATCCGCACACACTTCTCCAGCAAGTTTCTGTGGCCCAGCCTAAAAAGTGACAAATAAAACAATATACACACATGAATTGAGAAAAAACTACATACATTTACAAATGCTACACTCACTGTGATGTGAACACAATTTCCACTATCTCTATTGTTCAGGTACACCCAAACATGAAGTTCACCAGAAGGCTTGCTTTGAGGAAGACTTGTGCTACTGGAATTAATGCGCTCCAAAACTTCCTGCATAAGTTTTTCTCTATTAAGTTCTTCATCATTCACTTCAAATAATTGCACGTGATATGTTATTAGATCAGCAACAACAGCTGTTTCATTCTTAGACCATTCCAATGATTCAGAGGTCTGAGAAAAAAATTGATAAGCACACTCAGGAAACAAAATAAAATGAATTTCTTAAATTTTATACAACAATAGAATGGCACAAATTTTGTCAACAAATAATTGTTACTCTTTTTTATAAGTAGAGGACAAATTCAAAAAAAAAATGTCTCTTTCCTAGTAACAAAGATGAGATCAAATGCCTTTCCTGGATATATATTAACGAAGTCCATGTAATATGAATACAATTCAGAAAGAAATGAACACAATCATCATTAGGAACAGATTGTACAGACATACATGTCCTGAAGACTAAGATATTGCATAATGCTCTGAATATGCAATAATGCTATTGATATTTGGAAACAATAGTTTGTTGTAAAATCACAGGCTTATCCTCATAGTGGTTAGTTTTTAAAAAAACAAAAATATTAATGTAAATATCAAAGTAATAATCAGGAGCATTTTTTGCGTTACTTAACCAACATTAAAGAAACAATTTTAAGAACTGAAATACAGCATTTTATTCATACAGCAAAGTAATAAAATAAAGAATATTTAATTGAACTACTGTGAGGTATTACAATAACATACTTAAAATTGGGAAGAGGAGGAGACAAAACTTAAATACAGTAAAACTTGTCACATGAGGAAATCTGTCTAACGTGAACATAAATCGCAATTCTGCCAAAAGTAAGTTCTACAGTTTTACATTGCATAACAAGAAATCTGGTCTAATACAGAAAAAAAATACTGGTCCCTTGAGTTTGGGCATTGGGAAAGTTTTACTGTATATACAAAGTTAACATAAAGTGGTTTTAGGATGGATTAACTACTCATTCATGTAAACTACACAGTTATGAACAATGCATAAAATGGCATCCCCTGACAAGTCTTACATTCAACATTTCTGAAAGTAATTACACAATATAACATCATTATGGACATAACCCATCCCTCATTTCACTCACTACAGGAAATTTAGAAATTATTCACAAATCATGGTCGAAAATTTATTAAATATTTTGATTTATGCTTTCTTTAAATTTTGTTCTCTCAAACAAATATTGTCAATTCACTTTTTGTTTCACAAAATTCAAATGCTACATAGAAATTAATAAACACAAGAAACAAATTAATGACCACTACTTCAAAAACCAAACGACCACACCACATACCTTTCTACTGGACAGCAGCTTGACTGCATGTAACAAAGTAATGATTAACATCAATTCATCAATTCATTTGCTAGTATAAATGCAAAAACATCTTTTGAAATTGAAAATTATGATAACCTCACATTAGCAACATTAAAAATGATAAAGATAAGGATACTGTAACATGTTACTAAAAACACCAATAAATATTTACAATAGACACACAAAAAGAATGAAATCAATCAGTATCTTTTCTCTCAATTATTTTCCTCCAAATTTAAAAGATCAAAAAAGTACATCAAACATGTAACAATGCTGAAAAATGTTATTTTTTCAAGTAATTAATAAAAAGATATTCCTTTTCAATTCAAAATAGTTCTATAACTAGATTATGTTTAAAATAGCAGCTACAAGTTTTCTATTCATTTATAAAATGCATTTCTATATATACATTAAATGTATATATGTCTCTATGTATTGAAATAAATATGCACGAAATAAATATGCTTTTTTTAAAGAAATGTTTTATATAGTAAGTAACAAATACATAAGAATACAAAAGTGTAGTGGCAGAGTATCTTAACATGAACTGAGAACAATTGAGTAGCAAACGCCAGTCATGGTGACATCAGTGCTGCCAACTTAGCAATACAATATCACAATTACCATTAATTTCAGGAAGTTCTATACAATAAATATAGTGTTTTTGTACCTAAAATCAAAATATTCCATCAACAAAGCTCACAACTACTTACAAGAAGGCAAGTGGATTTCAGATATCAGATAAACTAAAATTATTAAGCAAATAAAAATGAAAAAAATTTAAAACATTAAGTCAAGTGTAAGAAAATTTTCAAAATGTGTTGCCAATGTGGAAGATATTGCCTAGAAGCTGAAACCACCCACAAGTAGAATTACAATCCTAAGTGACATCGAAGATATTTAACAATCATAAAGATAAGAGCATCCAAAAACAGAAAATAGTGGATTTTTAAAAAGATTTTCACTGTTAGATAACAAAGTAAAATTTACAGAGAATATTTTCAAAAAGTCATGAAAAATGCTAAACATAACACAATGGTAATGACAGATCTCAACTGGTTATCAGCCACAAGCTCTTGTCGTTTTGCATTCCCGCAAGATCAAAGAAATATCTATTGTTAAGTTGAAAGAATTAAAGACAGCTTTTTTTAAAAGTTTGTATTAGCAATAGCTAGTTTTCAAGAATCTGTGGGAGTTTATTCTCAAAAATACGGAAAGAATGCATTTCTATAATAAATATTACAAAATAAATGTATCTTAAAGAATATGATGTACTTTCGTATTGTATGAAGCAAGTAGAATTACAGACAGAGACAGTAACAAATTTGCCAAAGTATAATTTTTCTTCTTTAAGGTGAGATTCTATTCAAAAAGTGAGAAAAATATTGAATTTTGTTTTTTAACCTTAAAGTAATCTCTACACTTTTCTGAACATTTGGATATATTTTTCATTGAAAAAAATGTTTGTTGTTTTTGTTTATTTTGTTTTGTTTTGAATGTGCATCAGCACTGACAGGCTGATGTTTCAGAAGTTGCATGGTGTCACATAAATAGATATGGTTCTGAAACTATTGACTCTTGGAGGCGGAGGTTTTTGCAATTATATATTATCTTGTTTACCTGTGCAATTTGATGGCTGTATTGTTCTGTTGTTAAAGTTGGATGCTATTCTCTCTATCTTGGGGTAAGTGGTGGGATAGTCTGGTGTGTGTAAGAAATGTCAACTAGTTTGACTCAAATTACAAAACTGAATATTGTTTTAAATAGCTTGTGAACACAGGAAATAAATTCAAATGTAAAGACCATTGATGTTCACAATGTATGTAATGTGGAAAATATGGTTAGTAATACAAATCTTAACTCCAGAATTGATCTAGTTAAGCCTACCCACCCACCCCCCCCTTCGCTGCAGAGATCTTAGCTGAAAAAATAAAAAGCCAGAAAAAGAAGAGAAAACAAGTTCTAGTTATCAGCAATAACGAGCATAATTCACAATATGGAGCAGGTTGTTTCTACGTAAAATAATACAAGGGATATGCTGGGTAATTCCCAGTAAAAACTTCAGGATTTTTTTTTTCTCAAAACTCAGTTTTTCATTACAAATTTTCCTGTTTACTCATAAACTATTAAAACCACTTTCATGACTCATTTACAGATCCCTCAACTAGACAACGTGAAGCTGTGACTCAAAATTTGTGAAGTTAGCTTTATTTGTTTCAATTTTTATAAATAAATTATTCATTAAATTTTCGATAAAAAAAGGAGGTCTGAGAAAAAAATTATATTTCAGTTTCCTGCCAAGCAATTCTTTTCAATAGATCAATACAAAAAAATAGTACAGATAATGTACAGTAAAAATTCCAAATCAATATCTACAATAAGTTCTGAGATATTGGGTTAGCAATATTAAGAATTTAACATAGGCAATATAAGAGGGGGAATCTCACCCTAAACTTATTATTAATATGTAACCCCACCTTCCGTTTGCCAAATTAAGTAGAAACTCCTACATCCTTTTTAATGTGTTTGCTTACTTTATCAAAACACAGTTGAACTCTTTCAATATCTTTGAATAAACTATAAACTGTTCTTACCTCAATATGCATGAGCGTTGGACCCCATATAGCAGCTAGATTATCCAGAGGCATGCGATTTTTCTCTCGCTGTTCATGAATGGAATGTAAATGACTAATAAGCTTTCGAGTTGTCAAATAATTTACAGGTGGTAATTGCTCCAAAGTTCGACGGTATAAGGCCACTTTATCTTCCTTGAATTTTCCAGCTGTCACCCAAAAGAAACACCAAATTTTTCATATGTAACTACACTGATTAATAATTCTCATGACACATAACATAGACAATGCACACCTGCTATATCGCAGAACTGCCCATGAAGTTCAGTTGTAAGTAATGGTTCAGGAATATCACGAAAAAATCGTTTTAATACACTTGATACATCATATTCTGTGTATTCTTGCCTCGAAAGCTGCACAGACCATGCATCTAATCTGAACATCTCAAGTAGTTTTGAAACACATGAATTTGCTCCACTACGACGATATATTCCTTCAGACATACTGCCTTTAATGAAAAACACAAACAATTAGTTCCTTATTTCCTAAAAAACTGAAATAGCATACTAGTATAACCTAATAATTAACTATGTCATTAAGCATTAACTTTGCAATGCATTAAGCAAGGTCAACTTTGAATAACGTCAACTGAACAAAATGAATTTAATATGCAACTAATACATAATTCAAAATGAAATAAACAACAATTAGATATCAATATTAAAAATTTCACAAACAAAAATAATAACAAAAAAACATGCACATAGGAAAAATGAAGTATATCAAAAATTGATTTCATTACTATAATGCTCCCCAGACCTAAAGTTCAGCAAATGATTATACTGCTGTTTAACACTATAATTTTAATGAACCGAAGTCCTATTTATTCCTCAAAGCAATGTTGTTAAATGACAATCAAAATAATACAAATAACAATCCTTTACAAACATTCACCGATTGCATGTTCATATTCCCTCTAAATGGATTATTTAAAAGATTTTTTATCTGCTTCCTCTTTGAGACACAAATTTGAAACATAAAGCACTTAGAACTAAAATTAGGTCTACAATGCAAAATAACCTTTTTTTTAAACAAAAATCAATTTTATATTATATGTTGTGAAATAAAAAAGGGGGGAAAATCAATCTTACCATGGGCATATACAAATTTAATGCACTTGTCAACTATTACAGGAATGTCATCCTTGGTGAGCTGTTGTTGATCAAGATTAGGTCCATTGTCAACAGCTGATGACTGAATGATCTTCTGCCAAACACGAGTTTCAATTGGAGTATCCATATGCAAATATAAAGCCAACCCTTGACAATCCAGCAGCAATGATGGACCTCTTGTTGACACTCTCAAAACAGAAGTATCTGGATTAGAATCCTGCAAAGCTGTGATATAGGCGATTAGATTATGAAAACATTATGGCAATATTAAGCAACTTACAACTAAAACAAAAACTCTCCCTCTCAACAAAAAAGCTTACCAACACATCGTGCTTTCCTCAGATCTATCTCCTGAATAGGTACTTTCTCAAGACAATAATAAAACGTTCGTTTATGAATGAGGATCCATGCAGCTGACCATTTTCCACTAATCCCTTCCTACAATAGTAAGAACATAAGTCCAAGGTAAAACAACACTTTTGATCAATCACAGCAAAAACAGTTTTTTAAACAAAGAAAACATACCTTCAGATAACACCATCCACCTCTTGTATAATCTGAAATAACCCTCAGCGGAAATACTGATGTCAAGCTTTCTAAAATTTTTTGCATCCATATTCTCCTTTCTGATGGCCCTGATGTTCCAAAAACGTAAGAACGTGTTTTACTGGAAGTGTTTATTTCAAAACAATCTCCATCAACACTGAAAAATTCAATGACAATTTATCACCCATTTCTTCAACTTCACTACCTCATTTTATATCTGAACTTCACTTTTTTACCTTATTTTACGATCAGTTATCACCTGAAGGCTCAAAATAGATGGCAATGTAATCAGTTCTTTCATAGCAGTGGCAGTCTTGTCAGCATAAAAAGTAAGCTTATCTTCAGCAAGAACACACCAACGATGAACATAATCTTGTTGCTTCTCTTTACCAATCGCTACTTTAAATACCAATCCACTGTGAGGGAAATTCAGTTGTGGAGAAATTTCTGGTCTTTCAACATGTCTGGTGTCAGATTCTGCTTTCTTCTGCTTCTCTTGCCGTGTCTGGGGATTTCTAATGGGGTCTCTAAGAGATATTCCTAACTTGGGGGTACGAGGTAAGACATTTGGAGATCTATCAGCTACTCTTCTCACAGCTTGTCGCATACTTGCCAATCGCGTAAGCTTTCGAGGTTGTTTTTTGTCCATAGATACATCGTCACTGGATAAAGCTTTCTGAAGAGAACCTGAACTTCCTGATGGAATACCAAGCTCATCACGTTGATTCTTAAGATATAATGCATGTTCATCCTCAGTTCGAATTTCACATACTGCCCCCAATGTTTCACGATGACTTCTGTCAATCTGCACTGTATTTTCACGTTTACTAGGAGTAGGTGATATAGAATCGACACGCCTAGGTGGTACTGGAGGGCATTCAATAGATACTTCGTCATAAGAATGTTTCCTCACAATATTCTTTTTTTCTTTAGAAACCTGATTAATATTGCCATATATAGCCTCTTCAGTAGTCAATAAATCCACTCCTGATTGCAAGAAAATATCTTCATTGTTATTGTCTATAGGTAGAGCATTGGTTCGAGAAAAAAGAGGATCAAATTCAAGTATAACAGATTTTGAAGGTGCATTCCTCTCAGTTTCCTTCCTTCTTAGAGTAACAGCTGCTTTTAATGGCTCCCATGCATCATACATCTCATTTTGAACACTAATTGATCTAGGAGTTGATGCAGAAGAGAAACTAACATTGTCATCTTCAAAATTCTCATCTTCACTGATGCACCCCAATGCATCCAACTCGCTGAGCAGTGATGGTGACACACTGTTACGACTCCAAGTTCTTTCACTAAATGATACAGAATCTTTCCCACTAGGAACAACTGTAGTACCATCTTCACTACCACTTTTATCACCAAAAACTGAATCATAAAACGACCATGAATCTGAGCGAGTTACACAAACTGATGGTACAGAATTGTTTCCAGAAGAAATGTTTTCTGGCAGAATAAGTGGTTTACTTGAAGTTGCATCTCCTGCAAACTCGATAGCAATAGGTTCATAGACCCTTTCTTTTGACACACCAGACACAACAGTCTTCTTATGTGACACAGCACTACCACTACTACTCACATTGCTGCTTCCGCTACCACTTAAAGCAACAGACTGCACTTCATCGTACACAGATTCATCGGGCAGGGGCGGTGGAGGATAAATAGGAGGAGGAGCATTATAAGTATTGGGATATATTTCTTCCTCTGCCTGATCTGAACCATCTACTGGTAATGTACCATTTTCGCTATCAGTAACAGCTATTGGAGATTTGAATGTAATAGACTGGAAAATATCTTCCACAGGAAGAGAATTAAATGCACTTTCTGATGGTAGCGAGTGGCTTCTCAAAACTTTGGATTGATTTAACTTGCCTTCTTTGCCAGGAGAAAGTGGTCGAGTCGTAAACCTTCGTGTTATGTTTTTCATGGACTTTTCTAACCGCCCTCCGACGATTCTTTTGCTCTCAGCATTTTGTTTACTTCTGCCACAGGTATCTATCGAGTTATGTTTCGACACCTGCAGAGTCGCGCATGCACATTCATTTAATATTTTTGCGTTACACTTGACACAACACACAGTTTCATTTTCAGAGACTGCACACGGAGTGCTCACCACGACTTTCTGACGCGGTTTTGGAATTGGCTTTTTACTTTGCCCATCAACGATATTAGTCCTTGGTTTTGGCACAGGAACTGCAGACGCCATCTCTTTCACTAGAAACGACTAGTTTTTAAACATCATATTACCAGCACGAGATGAATGAATCATTCTACAGAGGAATGCATGAGAGTAAAAAAGCATCTCCCTTCCATTATTTGGTGTTCTTCGATTTTCACACCACTGAGACAAGTTGGATAAATTGACAGATGCTAAAAAATAATATTAGCTAACAAAATAAAACTCAATTCCGAAATTCACGCTCATATTACACTACTCGGCTCCATCGAAGGCTGAATGATCGCTGGCTGCAACGCCTTGTTCTTGTCAAACTCTCTCTCTCTGTGCTCCGCTGTGCTCCTTGACGTGATTCACAACACGCCCCCTTCTCCCCTTCCATATCCCCACCACACAGATTGTCCGCACCAATACACGCACTCTCGCTGATGACACACATCGAGACAGTTGTATCGATCGGTACACGATAGATCGATCAATTGAAACGACAGCACACTAATCACGTGACTAATTTCGAGTGAAGCACTGATTTCAAAATTCGAGAGTGTTTGCATGTTTAAGTTAAAATGAAAGAAGTTTCGAAGAGTGGCGTCAGTGTGCACCATAATCCCATGTCACTACACCCTCTTACTAAAATCACACCTCGTGTCGATCAGGTGTTCAGTTTCCCTCAACGAGTTAGAGATCTCTAACTCATTGGTTTCCCTGGTCCCTTGAGTAAATGATGAAATGGCCCCTTGTTTCGCTTCCGGACAGTAATGTAACTTCACGCTCTTCACCCAACACTTCATATTGACTCGTCATACACTATTTTAATTGTATATGTGACTTAGTACATAATGTAAATAATAATAATGTAAATAATAATAATAATAATAATAATAATAATAATAATAATAATAATAATAATAATATATGACCTCCTCTTGATCATTATGATGTAAATAATAGCATTATTTACATCATCATTCGCATTTATTCGACTCAAACAGATGTCCATATATATTAGCAAAATACCCTGCGTTGCACGTTTTTCGTATTCAATCCTTATGAAAAGAAAAAGATCTCCGTGTCTCTCTAAATCTTTCTCTGTTTCTGTCTTTGTCTCTCTCTCTATCACTGTCTCTTTCTTTGCTCCTCTCCCCCTCTTTGTCTCTCTATCTCTGTTTGTCTGCTTGACTCCCTCTCTTTCCCTCCCTCCCCATCTCCCCCTCTCCCCCTCTCCCGCCCCTCCCTCTCTCCTTCTCCCTCTCCCCCTCTCTCCCCTCTTCCCTCCCCTCTTCCTCTCATCCTCTCACCTCTCACCCCTCCCTCTCTCTCCCTCTCTCTCTCTGAAAAGATGGCATGTCATCAGAATTCGAGCTCTGATTATTAGTCACATATGAAAGCCTCTTGCATCTATATCGGGCGAGAACATTCTGTATCTAGCGCATGCGTTTGGTCGAGGTCAACGCCCTCTTAATGTAAAATTGGGTAAAGTTTGGATTGAAGGATTTTTTCCCTCGTAAATTCCAAATCATCCCATGTGTTGCACTGCGTTTTGATACTGCCTGATATCATGCATGGCTATATTCCCCCCCCCCCCCCCCCCCCACACACACACGCACACATACACTTTTTCAGAGCATCCGCGCAAACTGCCGAGATCAATGATACGGGGTTACGTATGGACCGCCCGAGTAATGAAAATATGGCCCACTACCATTCATATTAAAGGTTATAATTTTGGCCCTTGATACCTTGGAAGTTGGACACCTCTCACCTAGTCAATTCAATATTTTCCTCGGCGTCTTTAAAGCAATAAGAAAATAAAATATTGTTCTGGATGGAATTCATTTCTGAAGAAGTGACTTATTTTCTTCTTATTGAGTTTTACTCGAACAGAAAATATCTCGGCCAACTCTTTCTGCAACTTAAGCCACACGATGAAAGCACACAAAACGAAAATCGAAATTAAAAAATAATAATTAACGATTCAGTATATACTGCTCAAACAGATTCCCAAATCGAAAAATTCGAATAGAGACTTCGATGTATTTATTTATAGATGCGAATAACAGAACTTGTCGATTACCTGTTTGCATATAAAAACTTTTTAGTGGTTCTGGTGTTCTGTAGTTTAATTTGTTATTTTAATACACTGACTTCAATAGTATATTTTTGCAGACTATTCAGTGAAATAAGGAAAGAAAGCAAAAATAGAAACAGGAAGGAATATGCTTTTTTTCTTGTTATCTACTCTGTGGTTGCGGCTTAAAGAAATGATAATGAGAGATATTACTATATGCATGAATATTTGCAGTAAAAAAAATTTGAAAAGTATAATTTTCAAATTCAAATAATTCACAATTGCAATTAATTAAAGAATACGAAAATGTTAATTTGCAATATAATGAACATGGCAGGCGATAAGTATTCTGCGTGAAATGCACAGTGATTAAATAGGAATTTGTGAAGCATTTAATTGAATAAGATATAAGGCATTTGATTGAAGTTTAATATTATTAATTTTTTTCGATACGTTTGTTTGAAACAGTAATTTAATATTCGATCCAACAAAATTCCCCGATTGGCTTTTTGAAATTTTCATCGAGTATTCTAAAGGAAGTATTTCTGGTCATGGCATAGAATCCTATTCTGTAATCATGTCATAAATCTCCAGGTATAATTTGTTAGAAGTGAAAGTATGTTTTAACTTTTTATTGTAAAATAACTTGTAAAGAGTGCTTTTCGACGAGTTTTGGAATTTCTAATAACAGTAGGCCTACGGTACAAGTATAATTCGGAACCTACGGAAATGGCTAAGAAAAATAACGAAAAAAGTAAATACTTATATAGTAACAGAGAACTTTATTAACTAACAAACAATAGAAAATGAATATATTATTTAAGACTATTAACAATTTGAAATTATTTTATTGTTGACTTCAGTAACTTGTATCTTTACAGGAAACGACACGAGTGGATAAAGAAGGGTTTCATTGCATGAGTGATATGTTCAAGAAAACGAGAGACGATAAGAGTGAGTTTACCGCGAATGCAATTATACCCCTTTATCCACGAGTTACGTTCAATATTATCTTTCGTTTCCTTTAAAGAATAATTTTAATTTTGAGAAATTCAAGCATCTTTATCATTTGAGGCATGTATTTGATGACCATATTGGATCCGAACAAGACCTATTTTAGGAGACCTTGCAGGGTTTATTTATAATCACTTTAGTGTCTCGATGTTTGAAATAAGGAGTAAGGAACGTTTGAAAATGAAAAATATTTAACATAAAGCGGTTGACATATGAGAAGAAGCTGACAAAGCCGCATGAAAACATTACTTCGTATACAAAGGGCATGCATGAGAGAACAACACGTATTAAGTTGCAAGGGAGAAAGACTATTAGACTCTGACGTTTTGATGGTGTACTTTTAAGAGCGGGTAAGTACAATTGACGGTTACATTTTTTATTTGCATTATGCCAAGACCAAATGATTTACAGGTATCACATGTTAAATATTTTATATTGTTCCATAGTTAGCTCGACATGTTTATGAACGTACTTGTTTATGTTGAAGAAGACGCGTCGTGTAAGGGAGAATATCGACGTTTCAAATTATAAACAATTTATTGGATTTTTTAAAAAATTTAAAGGAGTTTTGCCAAAACAACTGCTTCCCTGAGCCGACGTGTTCAGATAGGTGAAGTAAACATATCTGTGCAATATAAAGCGACTTCTGAGTTAGGATGGTTGATGCCAAGTATGAGTAGGATAACGTTTCTAATTTAACTTATTGTACTATAAATATTAACATAATTGTCTAAGAAGTAGTAATAATTATTTGTTTATAATTTTATTGTATTCGTTCATTGATTTATTTGTTTTTGATGTACGTAATCTGTGACGTACATTTTTGTTCATGTTTCATGGCCGATTAGAAATACTTTGGCTATGTCTGTGTTATAGACATAATTAAACGATTTTAATCATTTTTCTGAGCTCTGATGGGTAGTTGTTGACTTTAAATTGCACGGCGAAGTTTTAATTGCTTACATAGTGATAATTAACGATTATTCATAGAATTAATGAGCGTATATAAGAAAAATATATAAATTGACTGTTTGGCGGAAAGGGGCTGCATCTAGTTTGGTACACATTTTTGAAACAGTAAAATAACTGGAATAAGATTAACTTTTGAGATGGTGAATATTTAAATTAAAAGTTTGTTCATATGGATCGGAGCCATCCGCAAGGGACATGGGTTTGCAGACTTTTTGTGTAGAAGTCAATCAGAACGTTCACGCTAGCGTTGAGAACAAGGTGCTAATTGGCAATTTTCTCCAAGGGGGCGTTTAAAAATCCATGGGAAGAGGGAGGATGGGAAAATTAAAAACGTCGTCGAGGCTTCATGTAAAGTAAATATCAAAATATTCGTTTCAAATTCGCAGGGCTTGGGGTTCGTCCGTTTGGGGAATATACATTTTGGAGAAAGTAGACTGAACCGTTTAGTTGAAAGAGTTAATCACAGAAAGATAGGCAGACGTTTTGCCGGCAATATATTTTTCGATAGTAAGGACCCACAAAAACGTGGCTTCTATTTTATTTTACGTTACGTCAAAAACAGTTCAAAACTGTGTGTGACATGCTACGAGAAGAAGTGTATTCTGTGTATGTTTTCTTAATTCTGGGATCCTTACCCTAAGCCATGTACAAGTTGAATTCTGAAGACAAAAGAAAATGAACGTATTGGCAAGAATTGGTAAGAAAATATTTACTTCGATGTAATAAAATCTACTTTCAAGGGCAAATCAGCTATAGATTTGGGCTCTTATCCCTCATCAGACCTTTGTGAGAAAATATACTTCCTGCCGCGACAACATGGAGAACGATAATTTGAATAACAATACTTCCCACTGAATTCAAGAAGACATGCACAGATAGTAAAGTTACATTTATGCCTAAGAGCAAATCGAGGCGCCAGCTCATCATTCGCTGGATGATCAGGGAAATTGGATTACAAAATTTGATCGAGATGGTTTGTTAAAATTGCACAGGTTGTTTAGAATTGTACAGTACAAACTGTAAACAATACATTAAATATCATTGTTAAAATTAATATTACTTTCCTTTCTGATGCATGTGTTAATCACAGAAGTGTAGTGCATATGAATGTATGTGTATGTAAGTAAAGGGGGAGGACAAGGACGAAGAAGGAAAGATCGCGCGCAGATCGTTGCAGTGGCGTCTTAGAGTAATGCTCCGGCATTCGCCTGGTATTAATCGGAGAAACTACGAAAAACTACAGATCAGAGCAGTTGGTCGCTAGAATTCTCCAGACAGCTGAATTCGACCTAGTTGACAAGCTACAGTCGAAAATTTTGCCACTGCCGGGACTCGAACCCCAGGACCTCTCGG